TAGGCGCGGGAGGCGGATCCCCTCCCGGCGCGGGCATCGGGGCGCGGGGGGCCTGGAGACCCGCGGGTGGGCGCGAAGCCCGGGCTGTGCGCCCCTCGCAGCGTCCCCGGGAGGTGGTTGGTGCGATTAGGTCTCCGCCCACCCGAGTCCCCTCCTGCCCCAGGGCTCTTACTCCACCCCGCCCTCTAGTGGTCGGGTCCGCGCCTGTTGGCCTGGAGAGTGGGGAAGGCGAGGCGCGGGCATCCAAGCTAGGCCCGCGCCGCCCTAGGCCTTTTAAAAGCAGCCTTGTTGTGGTCTAATTGACATATTTAAATTTGGTGAGTTTTGACACGTGCGCCCACTCTTGAAACCACCGCGGCGATCCACGCAGTCCACACCCCAGCCCCCCTTGGCACTCCCTCCCCGCCGCACCCCCATCGCGGGGCAGGCACTGCCCTGCCACTGGCTCAGCCGGCATTTCCCATACTTCACGCAAACGGACTCACAGGCACGTACCTTCGTGCCCAGCTTTCCCACGCAGCACGATTACCTTGCGTTCACCCGTGTTTATCAAGTTGTTCCCCTTAGTGCTGACTGGTCACCCTTCCCATGAATGTTCCAGTTTGCACGTCCCTGTGCCTGTTCAGGGACATTCGCGTTGCTTCCAGTTGTCGCCTATGACAAATAAAACGATACAAACATTGTGTACAACCTTTGGGCAAATACTTCTTTCTCTGGGGTAAATATCTAGGAGTGGAATGGCTCGGTCACCCGTGGCTGTATGTTTAATTTGGAAGAAACTGACAGAATGATGGCAGGGCTTTCCGTTCCTGCCCAGAGTGCAGGCTCACACCCTCCCCGGCTCTTGGCATGGTCAGCCTTGTCATTTCAGACATTCTAGTAGGTGTGCAGTGGCATCTCAATGTGGTCTTCATTTGTACTTCCCCGGTGACTAACGATGGGGAGCATCTTTTCATCTGTTTATTTGCCATCTCTCTTCTTTAGGGAAGAGCTCTGTTTTACCCACCTTTCATGGAATTGTCTTTTTTTTCTAAAACATGTCTTTATTGATTTCAGAGAGAGGAGGGGAGAGGGAGAGAGAGAGAGAGAGAGAGAAACATTAATGATGAGAGTCATTGATCGGCTGCTTCCTGCACACCCCCTACTGGAGATGGAACCTGTAACCTGGCCATGTGCCCTGACCGGGAATCGATCTGCGCGATCTCCTAGATCCTAGGTCAATGCTCAACAGCTGAGCCGCACCAGCCGGGGGGAATTATTTTCTTATTGTTGAGTTTTGAGAGTTCTTTATATATTCTGGATACAAGTCTTTTACCAGATTTGTAAATATTTTCTGTGAGTCTGTGGATTGTCTTTCCATGCTCTTAAAAGCTTTTCAAAGAGAAGTTTTAAATTTTGATGGAAGTCCAACTTAACAGTTTTTTCTTATATGGATCATGCTTTTTGTGTCGTATGTAAGAAATCTTTGCCAAATCAAACTCACAAGGATTTTATAGTTTAGGTTTTGCATTTGGTTTTAATATCCAATTTGAATTAGTTTTGAAATATGGTGTGAAATATTATTCCACGTTTATTTTTTGTGCATATGGATATCAAGTGTTCCAGGACTGTTTGCTGAAAAAATTATTCTTTCTCTACTGAATTACCTTTGCACCTTTGTTAGAAATCAGTGATCCATATAAGTATGAGTCTATTTCTGTACTCTCTGTGTTCAGTTGGTCAATTTGCCTATTTTTATGCAAATGTTCCAGGCTGTGTTCATTGCTGGGGCTTTATAATAATTCTTGAAATCAGGAGGTGTAAATTTTCCAACTTTGTTCTTTCATAAAGTTTTTCTTGTCATTCAAGACCCTTTGCTTTTCCTCATCTTGCCAACTTCTACTAAAAAAGCCTAGTGGGATTTAGTTTGGGATTGCATTGACTTTAGGGGTCAGTTTGAGAAAATTAACATCATCTTGACAATATTGAGTCTCCAATCCATGAACGTGGTATATCTTTTCATTTATTTAGAGCTTCTTTTATTTCTTTCATCTGTGTTTTGTAGTTTCTGGTTTACAGATTTTGCACATCTTTTGTCAGCTTTATCTCTGAAGTGTTATTTATTGTAAATGGCATTTTTGTTTCAGTTTCTGGTTTTTAATGACTAATATATAGAAGCAAAATTGATTCTTGTATTCTGATCTTAACTTTGCTAAACTCACTTATTAGTGCTAGTAACTTTTTAATAGACACCTTAGGATTTTCTACATATACAGTCGCCTTCTCTGTGAATAAAATGATTATGACTTCTTTCTCTCCAGTCTGGATGTATTTTAAATTCATTTTCATGCCCAATTACATTGACTAGAGACTCTAGTTTAATACTGACCAAGGGTGGGAGCAGATATCGTTGCTCCTGATCTCAGGGGGAAAGTATTCAGTCTTTCATCATTAAGAACAATGATGGCTGTAAGATTTTTGTAGCTGTCCTTGTCAGTGTGAGGAAGTGTCCTCTATCATTAGTTTTTGAGAGTTTCTATCAGAAATGGATATTGGACTTTGTGAAATGTTTTCTGTATCTGTTGAAAATATTTTTTCTTAAATCTGTTAATATGGTAGATTATACTGATTGATTTTCAAGTGTTAAGTCAACCTTGTGTACTTGGGATAAATCACAAGAAATCTTTGCCTAACTCAAACTGACATGGTATAGTATCATTTTATATGTTGTTAAATTATTTAGTAGACATGGAGCTTCTGAGGTTATTTTTTTCCTTGATTGAATGTTGGTAGTTTGTATCTCTTAAGGAATTGTTGAATTTATCAGCATAAAGTTGTTCATAATATTCTGTTATTAATCTTTCCATGTAAAATGATGTCACCTTTCTCATTCCTGATATTGTGTCTTCTCTCTTTTCTTTCACTGGTCAGTCAGGGTAGAAGTTTGTCAATTTTATTGATATTCTCAAAGAACCAATTTTTTGTTTCATTGATTTCTCTATTGTTTTCCATTTTCAATCAACTTCCACTATGATCTGTATTCTTTATTTTGCTTACATTGGGTTTAATTTTCTCTTCCTGGTTTCTTAAGGTGGAAGCTAGGTCACTAATTTGAGGACTTCTTCTTTAGTACAGGCTATAAATTTCCCTCTAAGTCCTGCTTTAGATGCATCCCAGAAATCCTGTTATGTTGTATTTTCATAATCATTAAGTTAAAAATATTTTCTGATTTGCCTTTTGATTTCATTTTTTAATGCATGGATTTAGAAGTGTGTTATTTTGTTTTCAGATATGTGGGTATTTTCCAGAGATCTTTCTGTTTTTGATTAATTTAAATCTATTGTTGTCAGAGA